GGTGAGATGGAGTGATTCCCAAATGTCAGGCTGAAATGAACAGTTTTAGTATAGAGAAATTGTGCTCCCTCTTGGAAGGGGCTTCCCTACAAGAGTAGGAAACAGAGTGTTTCCTGGGATACAGACAGGATTGGAAAATGCAACTTCTTTTCTCCTTGGGCTTTTTCCCCCCCTCTGTTCTGCACTTGGTCTCCAGCAGCAGGCTTGTAACAAGCAAATGATGGAGGAAAACAGAATCCATGCAAGAAAAACAGACAGGAGAGAACTGAAATGCCATGTGAAATGTGTACGTCCTTGCCCTTGCCTGGGGTGTACTATGCCCTTAATATTATGTGAGACCTAAACTCACCTGCTAGTAATTTCTAATTTACTGTCCTAATTCATCGATTTGTTATCACTAATTGTACTTCATTTACTTCTGTGTAGTTTCCAGTACCTAAAGGGTTGAAAGGTTGCTGTAATTGGCACCCGCAGCTGCTCTTTCTTTTGACAGGGGATAATTTTGCAGCCTATGCTTTGTGTGACAGCTGCCTAATTGGGCATTCTCCCCTTGTAGCAAGCCTGCCTCCTCCAGCCTCCCTGCTGACAAATGGTGGTGGATTATAGATGAGGACACGCTGACCCATTCGACCTTGCTGAGACAGCGGGGAGGGGCCTCCTGCTACTTGAGGGAAGCTTTGGGTCATTTAAAGGACAAGGTCATGAGCCAGGTGGGGAAATGACATGATATCACATGACAATAGCCTGATGACACGGTCAGTATGTCAAGGACAAACTCATCTGTATTGATTATGTTTCTTTTTTATAGTATCTCATTGCATCCACTAATATTTCAGAAGTATTTTGATAATTTATATGAGATGATAAAGTGCCAAGAGAAACAGTTGGGGTTTTTTTAAGGAGCGTTTCTACATTTATTTCTCCTAAATACAGATTACACATGAGAAACAATGTTAGTGAAATCCTGTCAATAATGATTTATAGTGTTGGGCTTGATGTATTTCATAAATTATACATACTCATTCAAATTTACTGCTATAGAAATACCAGAAAAGAAACACTGCAGGGCAGAATTTAAAGGAAAAAAATGCTGTTTAGATTTTAGTATTTCACTTATCATTATCACTAGGCTAAAATTTTATAAAATGTGTGCATATATGCATGCATTCAAAACCTGTGTGTGTGTATGCATATATATCATATGGGTAAGATACTTAAATAGTCAAAAAGTTAAACATAAATTAAATGTTAAAGAGAACTTTTAAAGTAGCTTTGGGGATATATGACAATTCCTTACCCATTTTAAAGGACTAAGGCAGCATCCAACTGTGCCAGCCAATAAAAACCTATTATGTGGATATTAGAAAATGTTGTGAATACAGCTGACAATGTTTTAAGAGTATCTTCATGTTGCATTGCTATGCTAATAAACTTCAAGGTAAATGAACAGCTTGTTTGGCATTTGCTATATTAGACGATAGTAAAACGCTTATTCCTTCAGTGTAATTAGACTTGATAGATTGATTATGCTAAAAATGTAAAGGTAAATACATTGAAAAAGAGAACTCTTCTGAATCACATTAAGCCTTTTTTAAACTTAATGGTGGCACAATTGCTTCAGCTGCTGCAAAACAATTTCTCACATACATTATGTTTATGCAACAGTCAGCCTCTGAGTAGACCGAGCAGCATTTACTAGTTCTCATTTTTAGTGAAACCAGAATTATTGTCGGATGCTCTTGTATCTAAATCTCATCAGTTCACCAGGATGTAATTTTACTCCCCTGAGGTAAAAAGCCGTCAGTGGTAAAGTGTGATAAATTAGTTCACTCAAGTAGACGCATCCGTGTGTGTGTGTTTGCGCGCACGCGTATGTGTAATTCTGACCTTGCTGTGCATGTGTTTAGCTGCGCTCAGTGCCCGAGTCAAGCTTGGTGGAGGTTTAATCCTGTGCCCTTGTACACGTATACTTGATTAGTAGTTGTGGTTATCTCAGCAGCAGACATTCCACCCTCCTCCATGTATTGGTCAGGACCCGGGCATTGGGGAGTCAAGTGGAAGGAGAAAGAAAAGAGATTTTACATTAGTATTCCATGAAAGCCTTACTGTCTGCAGAACAAATTGATTGCTACAGTGTACCTGTGCTTGGCACCACTGCTGTGAAAGAAAGGTATGGTTGTAATCTGTTTTATTGTATTACATATTGTGACACTACAGGAATATTTAACATTTAGCTCTTTCTGTGGCACATGTTATACATCTAAGGAAGGAAAAATAAATGAATGAAAAGTATGAGAGAGCCTTTGAGTCTGTAACTTCATGTACTACAATCAACTAAGTAAACAGATTTTTCTGTATACTCCACTGGTAACGGAAGGAGATTGATAACAAACCTGTATCCAGTGTTCAGTTACACAGACCTGTGTCCTTGCTTCTGTCTGCATAGAAATGCTATCAAATATTGCAAGTTTTTAACAAACAGTTGAAGAGGGTTGTGGCCGGGGGGGGGGG